GATTGCCAAGTGAACTTTGTTGCAGCTGCAGCAAAGCAATCCTAATGGTGAGCACTGTGTTTATTTTTCCTTCAGCAATGTTGAGAGCTCTGTTTCTCCAAGTGAGGATTTGGGAGAAATAGAAACTCACAGGCCAAGCCCCAGAGCTGTGGAATCAGAGCCTCCAGTCTTGAGGTCCTGCAGTCTGTGTTTCCACAAGCCTTCCAAGTTGATTCTGATGTCCACTCAAGTTTGAGAACCATTGGGTAAGACAAGTCACCTACATTTTTGGACAGGGAGGCCACCGTAATCTATTCCTTACCAGGGAGCGTTGGTTCATCGAGCTTGTGCTGTTTGTTCTAGTTGCTAAGGTGTCGATTCTGAAGACCAGTGAATTATCACTAAGGGGAGAAAAGCATTTGTCATATAAAACTCTTTACAAAATTATTTTCTAGAAATAAGATTTCAAATAAACAGTAAGGCTATCAAGATAGAGGGCTTCTTTGTGAAGACCATGATACAGATGTAGAAATTCACACACACACACACACACACACACACACACACACACCCTGTCTGTTCACTCTTTTACTTGGCTGAACCTAACCGAGTTTCCATGTACGGCAAGGAATTCTCAAACAATCAAGCTCTAATCAAACTATTGAGAGAAAGTATAATTTATTAGGACCTAGGAAATATATTATTTCAGTGTAAACCTGTAACGTATTTCAACGTCTGCTCAGAGTTGCAGCGTGCAAGCACCAACTCCCCCTTAACTCTCAAGTCTGCACAAGGACAAGAGAGTCAAAAGAATGGAGACTTTTCAGGGAAGTGTTTTGCTTGGCTTCCATGGTATCTAAAACAATTTTGGATTCACTGTACATGTTTAAAACACTGGGGGATTTCACATAAATCATCCAGATTCCTGCTTTTGATAGAAAAAATGGTAAGATTTTGCAACACTAAGGCCTGCAGCTGACCATTGCCCGCTGAAGACGGTGCTGGTGTTCTCAGCTCTGACTCAAGTCACAGCATCTTCAGTCACCTCACCTGCATGGGAAACTCGAGCAATAAAAAAAGAGGAGAAGAGATGCCTCTGAGCTGTGGTGATGAAGAAGAATACTGAGTATAGCATGTGTTGCCAGAAAAACAAACAGATCTGTCATGGACAGAGCACAACCAGGGTTCTTTTTAGAAAGGAGGATGGCAAGACTTTTTCTCACATACTTTGGGCCAAAGAAAGAGAGAAAGATCCTCAGTGAGATGGATCAGTGCAGTGACTGTCAAAAGGGGCATAACAGAGATCTTGAGGATGGCACAGAATAGGGCAAAGCTCAGATCTGTTGTTCCTGATGTTCCTGTTACTCTTGATGGCCAGTTCTTTGAAAAAGACATGATGTTTGGTAAAGGAGAGGGTGAGTGAAAGAGAAGAAGCCCCTCAGTGACCAACACTAAGCACAAGCATAGCAATGACTGAGGATGGCACAAGACCAGGCAGCGTTTTGTTCTGTTGCTATGGATTAGAATTGATTTGCTGGCACTGAGCAAAACCAGATAGACATGCTATTGCTCCCTCCACAGACACCGTCCCCCACCGATTCCTTTCTGGATGAATTTTGCTGCATGTGTCAGGAGATAGTTCCAGATTTAACACCATAACTCTTTTCTAATGCATAAGATTATATTAAAAAATAATAACCCCTGGAGAAGAGTATTGAGGGTACCATGGACTGCTAGGAAAACAAACAGATTCATCCTGGAAAGGGTTAAACCAGGCTGCTCCTTGGAGGCAAGGATTCTAAGGCTCCGTCTAGCATACTTTGGACATGTTGCAAGGAGAAACAGGTCCTTGGAGAGGGACATCATGCTTGGGAGGGTGAAGGGACGGCGCAGGAGGGGAAGGCCCTCTATGAGGTGGATTGATTCAGTGACTGGGATAATCGGGGTGGGTGTGTCAGAGACAGTGCAATTGGCACAGGACAGAGCAGAGTTTAGGGATGATGTACATAGGGTCGATATGAGTCGCAAGCGACTCGATGGCACATAACAACAACAACAACCATAACCCCTTCACATCCTTTACAGAACAAAACAAGTTCTGAATGGGGAACAAACCCAGGACTTTGGGCTTGGATAAGGGAGGCTGGTAATGCTTAATACAATAGACAGATTCACATTTCCCTTCAAGTATATTTTACCTTCACACGGCCCTCTAGTAAAACCAACATTCTCCCCAACTGCTTCCTTCCACTACAGAGTGGGTCCCAGAGCAATCCATTCATTCACAAAATCCTGAGCTTATAAAATGTTACTGTTCTCAGTACCACATGCCAAAGCTCTCTCCCTCAATTTTTCTATCTGCCTGTTTAAATAAGGTAATACTTTATGCTTTGGTCCATCTTAGTTTGCCTTTCAATTTGCAACTTCGTATTTTCCCCTACTGCAGATGATCTGGAAGCTGGACTGGTTTAATCAGCTTGTTGTTGTTGTTGTTATGTGTTGTCAAGTTGCCTGCGACCCATAGCAATCCTCTGAAGCCTGCCCTGTCTTGAGCCAGTCTCACAGACTCCAACACACCTACCCTATTGTCCCAGTCACTGTAGCAATCCTTCTCATGTGGTGTCTTCCTCTCCTTTGCTGTCCCTTCACCCTTCCGAGCATGATGTCCTTCTCCAAAGACCGGTCCCTCCTGGCCATGTGCCGAAAATATGTGAGACGGAGCTTCAAAATCCTTGCTTCCAAGGAACTGCTTGGCTTCACTCTCTCAAAAACAGACCTATTTGTTTTCTTGGCGGTCCCTAGTATGTTCAAGACTCTTCTCCAACACCACAATTTGAAGGCATTGATTCTTCTTCTGTCATCCTAAGTCACTGTCTAGCTCTCTAATACATAGCAAGTAATTGCAAAGATCATGGCCTGGATTGGGTGCACCTTAGTCTCTAGACTGACATCATTGCTTCTCAGTACTCTGGAGAGATCCCTGACAGCAGATTTAACTTAATCAGCTTAGATGGTGATTAATAGACAGAACTAGCTAAGACACAAGCAAACAGGTTTCCAACATTAACTTTAGTACTGACTGTGTCACTTTGACAACACCAAACTTGGAGGAAGTGCAGCCAAAGTGCTCCTTAGAGGCAAAGATGTTGAAGCTTAGTCACACAGACTTTGGACATGTTGTCAAGAGAGGCCAGTCCTTGGAGAGGGACATGATGCTGGGGAAAATGGAGGGTTAGAGAAAGAGAGGAAGACCCTCAATGCAACGAATCAACACAGTGACTAATAACGGGTTCAAGCATAACAGAGATCTTGAGGATGGCATAGGGCAGGGCAAGATTCAAATCTGGTGTTCATAGGGTCACCGTGAGGTGTAGCAGACCTGATGGCAACTAACAACAACAACAACATGTCACTTCAGAGGTCTCTGGGCCTCAGTTTGCTCTTATGTTTGACAAAAAAGGTAGCTCTGGTTTCTTAGTTTCTTCTAATGGTCTGTAATGTAGTAAATTATAACTATCAGTTACTTAGAAGTAAATGCTCAGGAGCATAAAAGGTGACCACATAAGTCTTTTATATATTTTTTTAAATATTTAGAAAAATTTAAAGGAGCCTTAGCAGTGGAGTATGTAATGTGTTACTGCTAACCAAACCCTTGGTGATGGTTTTAAGCCAGTAGTTTTTGTGAGGGGAAAAATATGAGCAGCCTCCTCTCATAAGATTTACAGCCACAGAAAACCGAGGGGTTTTTTGTTTGCATACAAAATGCATATACCTTGTGATTTGTTTACACAGATTATGCTTTACTCATTCATTCCTCTAGTCACACTGTGTTTCATAGCATCATTCCCATACACTGTGTTTTCTTGTTTTCTAAAATTAATCACCATTGATCCATGCTCATCATTACCCCACATTTTCAGGTCCCCACAGGATCTTTCTTAATTTCTTCAACCTCTCACTCTGCCCACATAACTCTGTGTCCTCAAGATTCCCCTCCACCAGGCCCCTGCCTCCCTCTCCTTTACCCTTTTTACTTTTGTATACCTCTTACTGGTAATCCTTCTATGTTTACAATAATGGTCTTAGGGAGTATTTGTCCTTATGAGACTGGTTTAGTTCACTCAGCATAATGCTCTCCAACCTCCTCTATATTATGTAATATTTTTCAAAATTATTGCTCCTGAGTTCTACATCCATCATGTGAATGTACCACAATTTCTCAACCCATTTGTTTGTTGATGGACATTTTGGCTGCTTCAATTTTCTTGCCCAAGACCTTACTTTAAAACTTGATTTTAAGAAAAAAAAAAAGCTAAAGCCACAATAGATCTTTGGATGTGTGCAGGAAATGCAATCATCACTTAGGGCAATGTGTCTAAACCTTTTTGTGGGATTGTTGCTGCTATTGGTGAGCCTCTGAAAAACATCCCGTTTCCTAGAGGTTCGTGGGATGAGAAGGCAGCCTTCAATGAAATACATGGATTGATACAGTCACTGCAACAATAGGTCCAAGTGCAATAGTGACTGTGAAAGTGGAGTAAGATCAGGCAGGGTTTTATTTCATTGTACAAAGTGTCACTATTCCTTACAATCAACAAATCTCCATGAAGTTTAATACCACAGAAATACTCAATATTTCTCCAGGCATACTTATGCTTTATAGACAAAACAATTAAGATTTGTTTACCCCACTCAAGACCAATTTTTGTCCCTACTAGGAACACATAATTTAGAAGAATCAAATTTCTGTGGTATCTCAACTTTCTTTTCAAATAAAAATGAGGAATAATATTTTTAATTAAAAAAGGTCAAAGTTTATTTGCTGACAACCATTTTCCAAGCCTAGTGTGCTGGAAGTGAATTTGGGAGGTGACATCACCTGGTAAAATGATAAAAATTAAGTGATCATACATTGGTATGGAGTACACTTAATCACAAAGAAAACCTAGACCCTCACAATTGGACCAATGAATGATATAATGATAAACAAAGAAAAACCTGGAGTTGTCGAGAACTTCATTTTACTTGGATCTACAATTAACACCATGCAAGAGTTAAATGGCCCATTACACTAAGCAAATCTCCTGCAAACTATCTCTTTTCTTATTATTGGGATTTGACTGACATTTTCCAAAGCAAATGGTTCTCCACTCAATCGTGAACTCATTCGTATACATTTTGTTTTATCACATTAATTACACACAATGTAATGACACTCTTTCCACTTCCTCCTTCCTGCCTTCTGAGCCCTTCCCTGGGCAAGTGCTATCCTTTTCTACAGTTGGATATAGTTCTATATGCAACTTTCTATAGTTGACTATTCCACGGAGTGTGTACCTCCCTGATGTTATTGTTCACTTTAAAGATCTGTTTATTGTCTGGCTGAAAATCGAGCCATTGTTCCACCACTTTCTATTAAACCTGTAAGCCTGGCCATCTTTATCGTTTTGAGTTTTGTTTCACATGTTTTGTCCATTCTATCCAAGACTGTGATATTTCAAAGTATTTTTTTAAAGTGATAAAGAGCAAGGATACCACTTTGAGGGTTAAGGTGCACCTGACCACAGCCATTGTATTTTCAGTCCCTTTACATGCATGTGAACATTGTCACATACATATAAGGAAGACCAGAAAAGAGCTGATGCCTTTAAATTGTTATATTGGTTAGGAATACTGAATATATATCATGGATTGCCAAAAGAACAACAACTACTAAAACTCTGTCCTGGAAAAAGTGTAGCCAGACTGCTCCTTAGAATCAAGGGTGGTGGTACTGGATCTCACAAATTTTGGAGGAGCTGATGTTGTTACTGTTTTTACATGCCATCAACTGTGAATCATAGGGACCCTATGAATAACAGTCAGTCCTTGCCTATCCTATGCCATCCTCACTATCTGATACACTTGAGCCCATTGTTACAGTTACCATATCAATTCATCTTATTGAAGGTCTTCCCTAAAACACAGAACCTCCAACTTTCCAAGTATGATGTCCTTCTCCAAGGAGTGGCCCGCCCTAACAACATTGTCCAAAGTACATGAGACACATTTTAACATCTTTGCCTCAAAGAAGCACCCTGGTCACATTTTCTCCAAGACAGAATTGTGTGTTCTGTTAGCAGTCCATAGGATATTGAGTATTCTTCCCCAATACCACCACTCAAAGGCATTGAGAAGTTACTAGAAGGGGCAAAACCCTGGAAAAAGATCATGCCTGGTAGAGGGTCAGTGAAAGAGAGGAAGATCTTCAGAGAGATGGGTTAACATAGTGACTCTGGGTTTTAAACCCATTGATAAAGTGTTTAAGCATGGAAGAAATTGTGAAGATGGTGCTTTGATCTATCGTATGTGGAATCCAAATGGCTGGAGCCTACTCAAGGGTATCTAATAGCACTAATACCATAGTAGATTGAGAGAGCAGGGCTGCTTCAGTATTTCTAAGAGGTATAAGTGAAGAGCAAGTTGAAGCCAGAAGAATCATGCTCCTCCCTAATTAATTGGTTGCTGTTTTCAGTCCAGGATAGTGGGAAGAGGATATTCAGATGCCTGTCATCCTCAGAGTGGGTGTGGCTCTCTACCTCTGGCTGGCCCATCCCACTCCCCTGAGGATAGGAGCTGGGGTTTCCCCCAGGCCCTTGCCTCCCTCAGTATCTGAATCCTGCTCACCTAAAACTATTGATAGAAGGGGCGCTGCTAGATCTTCTCAGGATGTTGCCATCCATGATGGTCAAGCTGGGCAGCAGCTCCATGTCCAGTTCCATTTCCTCCTGTGCCATGTTAATGTTCTAGGAAGAAACAAGCTCTTAATTTACAATTCCTAGAGCTCTCAGATTCCTTTTCACTTATGGGCAAGTCGGTGGGGCAGGAGGAGGCGAAAGGGAAAGAGGATAATGGGAAGAGGAGCACCCCTAACACCAGTGGGTACGCATTTCTCATCCCCTAAATTCTAGATCCTCACTGATGAGAAGCAGCCCCCCATGCTTAGAATTTAATTTGGGGGGGGGTGTTCTCTTGCTTCAGCCACTGGCAGGGCAAGCCTTCCCAGCCAAAACAAAAACTACAAGCTGCCGTCTTTGAGAATAAACTGGAGCCCGCCCCTGTGCACATGCGCCCTGTGTGCAGCCCTACTACTCAGGCAATTAGCGTCATTAAAGGCGCGCGTTTCTCATCCTGGGCTGGCATCCTTTTAAACTCTTCCCCCGTTCCCCCTACTCACATTCATCTCTTTCCTTCTTCTTGGAGCCCACTCTACTGCTACTTTGTTGTAGCAGTCGTCGTCCAGTGCCGAGTCCAGTAAGACTCATAGCAACCCAATGACAAATAAACCTGAGCCCTGCCCTATCCTGTGCCGTCCCTGTCATCTGTGACATAGGAGCCCATTGTTGAAGTCACAGTGTCAAGCCACCTCCTTGATGGTCCTCCTCTATTTTGCTGACCCTCCCCCTCTCCAAGCATGATGTCCTTTTCCGAAGAATAGCCTCTCCGATCAACATGCCCAAAGTGTGAGAGACGAAGTTCCACGATCGTCTCCACAGAGCACTGTGGCTGCATTTTTTTCCAAGACACATCTGTGGGCAGTCTATTAACTGCTACATTAGAAACCCTTAAACATTGCTCAGTAAACCCTTAAACATTACTTAATAAAGAAAGGGTGGAAGGAATAAACTATGTGGGAGCTCCAACCTTTCTGCCCTCTATCTAATACTGAATTGCTTTTTTTTTGTTTTTACTTTTCAAAGATTTAGTTAAGATTTTTTCCAGAGAAAAAGGCTTAACAAAATTATATTGAGTGACTAGACACACTGGAGCATCCAGAAATCTACTTTAAAAAAAAAAATCTGTGTTAATACTAAGAAAAATAGCTATTTTAGAACAAGGAAAGAGAAGTTAAGAGACTATGGAAAAGGGACAGAGATATAAAATATCTCAATATATAAGATAGGAATGAATGAATTTCCAACTATTATTCAAGAGGAAAAGTTTTGTTAAAATGCAGCTACATGTCAGGAAATCAAGCACTGTAAAGATAAACAGGATTCCTAGCGCATAATCCGCTGCCCTTGAATGGATTCTGACTCATCATGGCCCTGTGGGGTAGATAGAACTACTCCCTTAGAGTTTTCCAAGGCTATACGGAATCAGGCTGTCACATCTTTCTCCTGCAGGACTGATGGATTTGAACCACTGACATTTTGGCTGACAGCCCAGCACCTTAACCACTAAGCCACCAGGGTTCCTCTAACAGAAAATACACAAGTTGGAATACCAAAAGGAAAAGTGTAACAAAATCGCAATTATGAATTCTATAAAGGAAAAAAATATTTTTACCTATTTTATTTCTACCTATACATTGTTACACCAACCTAGCTGTATTTCCTGTTAAGTTCTTTTCTTCTTCATAACAATATGTCATGATCTTGGACTATTGGTTTATTTAGATATGTACCTTAGCCCTGCTGCTTGTTCCGGCCTTCGTAAGACCCAGTCTGCTGGTTTCTGGCCCAGGCCTTTTTAACTTATGGAATATATCTCACAAGTATGTCATAATCAGGCTTAGTGGACTTGTTGCCATGGCAACATTTTAGTCTTTAGTAATTACAAGAACAAGTTAAATACAAGTTAAATTCATGCCCACGAACCACAAATGCCCCCCAAACTTCTCAAAAGACCTCCATTAAGTATAGAACAAAATAGGCAGCCAAGAATTATGTGAATAAAACCTGAAGTTATAACCTTCTTCTCACAAATCTTTGAGTTCCTTATAAATTACTAAATTCTTGGCAGTCAGGGGTTCTACTAAGTTATTTGACTCTTCAGAGTTAGGGACTGTTAATATGGTTAAAAATTATTATTTGGTAGTTATTATTTGGTATTATTGTGGACAAAATGCCAAAAGAATACCTTTTTGAACAGATAAGATCTCAAGATTAAAATAAAACCAGAAACTCATGAACTGTTCAAAGCCAGAGCCTCTTGTTTGTAACCTAGCCAAGAGAATATACAGCAAGTTTAAAGGAAATGACTGAAAAAATCCTCTTAAAAAACCTTAATATTACAAGAAGAAAACATAAACATTGAAGGATGAAAAGAGAACTTAACTTGGCAAGTTTAATATGGCAAATCAATGTCATTGACTTGAAAGAGGCCAGCATTATTCATTTTAGTAAGTTTTGAAATCCATTTCATCAGTAACAAATTTTCTGAGTTTGTAGGTTTGTTGTGTTGTGGGTTTTTTCCTTGTTGTGTTGAGTCTGATCCTATTGGCACAGGAGGAGGCTGCCCTTCCTTCTCCCTCCTTCTCCAGCAGAGCATCTGGCGGATCCAATCTGCATGCCTTCAGGATTGCAGCACAGCTTCTTGCCACTTAGGCCACCAGAACTCTCTAGTAACAAATTTTCCGAACTTTCTGTTGTTATGTACCATGGAGTAGACTCTGACTCAAAGTGAACTATGTACAATAGAATAGATCTAAACCTTGGTGGATCTTGCTTCAGCCTCACAATCTCTGCTGTGCTTAAGCCCATTGTTGGCAATCACGGTGTCAATCCATCTCATTGAGTACCTTCCTCTCTCCTTCACTGATTCTCTGTTTTACTAAGTATGATAATTTTCTCTGGGAACTGGTGCCTCCCTATAACATGTCCAAAGCATGTGAGAGGAAGTGTGTCCAGCCTCACTTCTAAGAAATACTCTTCCAAGATAGATTTGCTTGGGGTTTTGTTTTGTTTTTTTTTTTTTTTCAGTCCATGTTCAATATTCTTCACTAACACAATTCAAACGCAATTCTTCAAATTTCCTTACCATTGTCCAACTTTCACATGCCTGTGAAGCAATTTAAAAATATCACAACTTACATCAGGCGCTTCTTAGTCTTTAAAGCAACATACTTGCTCTTTAGCCCTTTGAAAAGGTCTCTGGCAGCAGATCTGTCCATTGTAATCCATTGTTTGATTTCTTGACTTTTGCTTCCATGACTGTAAATCCAAATAAAATTAAATTCTTGAAAAGTTCAATCTTTTCTCCATTTATCATGAGGTTGTCCAGTTGTGAGGAGTTTTGTTTTCTTGATGTTGAGGTGTGATACATTACTGAAGGCTGTAGGGTTTTTTTTTAATTTCTTTAATACGAGCTTCAAATCTTCGTCACTTTTTAGAAACTATGTCATGTAATCAACATATCAAAAGTTGTTAATGAGTCCTTCTCCAATCCTGATGCCACTTTTCTTTATATAATAATCCAGTGTCTCTGCTTATCTGCTCAGTATACAGATGGACATATGTATGAAAAGATCCAACGCTGATGCACACCTTTCTTAATTTTAAACTCTGCACTATCCCCTTGTTCTTTTTGGAAAAAACTGGCTTGCTTCTTGATTTGTATAGAGGTACTACGTGAACGCTATTAAGTATTTTGGAATTCCCTTTCTCAGAGTTAACCATGATTTATTATGACTCATATAATGGAATGCCTTTGCATTGTCAATACAACACAAATAAACCTGAAATGATAGGATAATGATGGCCATAGTCCAATGGTGTTTAATTTTATACAATATGATACATGGGAATGATTGTATAAAAGACAATGTGAATGAAGAATAGTGTGAAACACAATGTATACAAACTTTGTGAGCAAACCAATATGAAGTAAAAAATTTTTAAAAACTGAACACAAACATTTTTCTGGTATTCTCTGCTTGTAATTGAGATCTACCTGATGTCAACAATGGTGTCCCTTGTTCTACAGTCTCCTCTAGCTTGAATTTCTGGCAACTCTCTGTCAATGTACTGCTTGAGACATTTTAAAAGTATCTTCAGAAAGGTTTCACTTGAATATTATATTAATAATTTCTTATCATTTCCACTTTAAGTAGGATCATTTAAAAAATTTTAATGGCCAAAAATATGGCATATAGTTGTAGTCTAGAGATTTTGGCACAGAAAAATAAGCATGTCTGGGGCTGCATCTATTTGAGATATCTCAGTTGGAATTCCATCAAGTCTTGGAGCATTGTTGTTGTTATTATTATTATTACTTTTATTGATAAAGCTTCAGTACAGCTTGGATCTTGAGTCCTTCAGTTCCATGTGTTCTTGATCATATGCAATCTCCTGACGTGGTTCAGTGTTAATCAATTCTTTTTTAAAATGTTTTTAATCCACTCTTTTTTATATAATAATGTGCATTCCTTTCATCTACTTTTTATTCTTCTTGTATCATTCATCATTTTTGCCTTTAGTATCTATCCTTAAGTATTGCAACTTGAGAAATGACAAACATATTATTTTCTTTTGGTTCTCTAACTTCAGGTCTTTGTGCATTTTATCAGAATGTTTTGCCTTCTCAAGCTAACATTTGAAATCCTCTGTTCAGTTCTCTGACTTCACCAATGTATGCATTATTAACCAATAATACAATGTCCTTTTCCCCCTTAGGTGATGAGGATTCTCTTAGTTAATACTCCTAGAATTCTTAGAACAGTGCCTGGCACACATTAAATGCTACAGAAATTGTTTGTTAAGTAAAAGAAACAATGCCAGGTCTCATTCACATGGAATCATGATTGTTAGGATCTCTGTAAATCTTAGAAAAAGAAAAAAGAAGAAATTTCTGGTTCAGCTACTTGTCCTCCAAGCCTTTATGTATACTCCTAGTATCGTTGAAGGTAACAGCGCAAATAACAGAGATGAGTGCTTTTCACAAGCTTAAATGCACTCTCATTAGATTTGCTTTCCTTTTATTCCACTGCTTTTGTTTTCTCAGTTCCCTTCTGTCTACTGCATCCATATGGATGATCTGAAAAAGAAATCAACCCCATCAGACAAAGACCAACAAAATCAAGGCCTTAAAGAAATAGTAGTCATATTCTCTCTCTGTCTCCCTCTCTGTCTCTGTCTCTCTCTCTGTCTCTGTCTCTCTCTCTCTCACACACACACACACACACACACACACACACACACACCCTTCTGTCAGTATTTTTTGTACCATTGTTTCTTGTAAATTGTAGTTCCTGAGTACCAAAATTAAATTTACACCTTTAAAGTCCAATATTGTATGCAGAACTTACATCATGTATTTACATAGTTTCATGTGGTTCAGATGAAAATTCGGTAAGAAAACAATCGAATTGGAAATAAAAATACATTTAAGAACAACATGAACATTGTGTTGTGTGCATTTAAATGTTAAACTTTACCTTCCATGAGAAAACCCTGCATACATTTGGTTGTCTTGTATTCCTCCACTCTCTTCACTCTTGTCCTGGACTCCTATCCGATCCGCACAGGGCCGGCAGCCAGGAAAACGGGGGTGGTCCTTGGTGGCTGGATTATTCCCGGTCCTACCAGGCCTCTGCAAGAGTGACTGGTGAGGGGGCATCACCATTCCTGGGCTGTTGGGGAAGCACATTGGGATAGTGAGAGAGGACTGAAGTCATGAAGGATTTCATTTTACGTGGTTCCACAACCAACACCCGTAGAATAACCCAAGAATTCAAATGACTTCTCACAAATCTGCTTAAAGGGTAGATAAAGAGCAGAGATGTCACTTTGAGGATTAAGTCCCGCCCCCCCCCCCCGCCGTCTCACATGTATTTGAAAGCTGGACGATGAATAAGAAAGACTCAAGAGCCTTTGAGTTGTGGCGTTGGCAAAAAGTATTGAATATAATGTAGACTGCCAAAAGAACGATGAATCTATCTAGGCTGAAGTGCAGCCAGACTGCTCCTTATAAAGCAAGGATGGTGAGACTGTCTCACGTACTTTTGGCTGGTTTTCAGGAGGGGGTTAGGAATAGAGAAGGACTTCATGCTTAGTAAGAGGGTCAGCAAAAAGATGGAACGATACATTGGCTGCAACAATGAGCTCAAATGCGGCAATGAATGGGAGAATGGAGCGAGAGCAGGCATTGTTTCTTTCTGTTGTAGCTATGATTAGGAACCACCTGGAGGGTACCTAACAACAATAATGATAATAAACACTTGAGGAGGGTTTTGTCTTTGAAGTGCTTTACAAACGCACCTAATTAGCCCTGGAGAGAGCAGCGGCAATGAAAAGCTCGCTTTGTTATTCATTGCTTTATTATTCATTTGGAGCTTGCAGCCTTGGTACGCTGAATGTGGTGGGCAGGGTGCAGCGAACTGGAGAGCATTTTGGGGTCACCCTCTCTTACAGTGACGCCACTGTTAAGAAATTCAAGGGGCTCAGTAACACACAGACTGGGAAAGAAAAGCCTTGCGATAGTCCCATGCTTTGGTTTCCCTTCAGTATTGGACCAAACTCCTCCTAAAAAATGATGCAGCCACTCTCCGACCTATTGGCTCTTTTCGAAATCGAGCGCCAGGGTCATCTGGCCAATGCCGTGGCGGCAAATCCCTGGAAACGCCCCGCCCCTTTGAGGTGACGGATAGATGGGCGGGACTTGCACGCACGTTCCCTGCCCTCGGGCCTATTGGAGCAGCCGCCGAGCGCTTGCGCACGAGCCACTGGGTGCCTGGATGCGGAAGAATCCTGGTGCTACTGAGGCTCACGCTTCCCTAGCCTAGAAAGCGGAGGGGGCGTCAGCCAGGTTGTAGGCTTTGGTTGGGCCCCATAGGTTCCCTGGAGCCATTAAGACCCAGATAATTAGAAGGGCACCCTGGCAGCAGCTGCGGGGTTGAGCTTCCACTTGTCCTCCAGGCGAGAGGAGGGAGAAAACACTGATCCTACGCTGCAGAGTCACTGGGACCGAGACCTGGAACATGGGGGCTGGAGTCACCCACGCTTTCGGGCTACCAGCCCCTTGGTGCTCAGGCTGCGCGGGCGGCCACGGCGCGCGTAGCCAGACCCCGCTGGAGGTCAATGGCCAGTAATAAAACAGAATGAATTCCCCACGATCTAGTTTCATCTCCCCCTCCCCCGCTCTTCTTTCTCTGTTATCCCTCTCCTTCCTCCCCACACCTAGTCCTTTACCTCCCCCTTGTCCTCCTCTTCTCCTCTTACTCTTTCTGACCCCTGCTTCCCCATCTACTGTTTTTCCCTCTCTTTCCCTTTCTCTCTCCCACTCTCTCTCTCTTCCCTCCATCCTTCTCCTCCACCCCTTTTCTGCTCCATCCTCTTCTTTCCCAGCCTCCACCACCATCTAGGCATCCTTCCCCCCTCCCTCCTCATCCTCATCTTCCTCCTCTTTCCCTCCTCCTTTCCACTTTTCTCCGCCTCCGCCCCCGCCCCCTCCCGCCCCCAAGCCTCCACCCCTATAGCCTCTACCTCCAGCTGCCAGTCCCCAGCAGCCCAGTCCTGCAGCGAGCGTCTTGGGAGTCCACAGCTAAGCCCCTAGAGCTGAACACTGTCCGCTCTGCCTGCTTGCAAGTTTTGGACATGGCTCGTAAGACCCTGGATATGGACTTGGAGGCTGAAACAGCCGAGGCGGCTTCCCTGAGACGAGCAAGCAGCGCTCCCCTGATCCTTGGGCTCAGGTGAGCAGCGGGGTTGGGGAGGATGGAGTAAGGGGTCCTGGGGCTCCCCAGGCAAGCATTCTTCTTTACCTCAAGTAAGAGCTGGAGTTCCACTGGGTTCGTCACACGGAGGGGTTGAGGGGTTTACTTGCTTCCCAATGTGACTTGGATCTCGAGGTGGCGTGAAAGTTGGCCCTAAACTCGGGGTAATTGAGAGGGACGAGGGAGTGGAGAAGGAACCCTCTACCTGAGGTCCCGCGCTGAACGGACCGGACCGGACGGCCAGAAAGCTGTTGGCTCTTCCCGCAGGTTGCTCGCTCTTTCTTATGGATACCACTGATCACCAGATCACCAGAAGGAAGCCCCTAGAGTTGGGCTTGCAACCTGATACCTGGCCCCAAGAGCTGCTATTTCTAAGCTTAGGTTAGGAACACTGCCCCTAACAGAGGTCTTCTTTAATAAATCACAGTTTCTCCAATCGCGTGTCATTAAGCGGTGTGCTCTTGTCGTACTCAACGGTTTGGGTTTGTTCTTCTATATTCAGATTCTATAAGTCCCTGAAATGCATGTCTGTGAATAAAAATACAAAGGAGGGCGGGCTAATTAAGGGCATGTGGTTTAGATCCTTGAAAACACAGGTTTTGGAAAACAGTGGAAATCATTCACCCATGATTTCTAGGGACAGGGTCTTGGATAGTTCTGGGAGCAGTTCACCAGAGGGTCAATTCTGAGGTAGAATCTTTTAGGTAGGCGAACTCACCTCCTTGTGGAAATCGTATGGAGAGAGCCAGTTTGGGGAAGCCTGTTGAAATGGAATTCATCCAGAGAAAGTGGTAGGAAGAGAATTAGCCAAAACCAGATTAATCACGCATAGTGAAGGCAAGGGAAAAGGCAATCCTGGGCTATTGCACTGATTATAAAATCTGTGTTTTTGGGGGGGAAGCTGATTTACATTTTTCTTTTGTTAAATAATGTTTTCAAGCAGAAGGAGTGATTGAATGACTTTTTTCTTTTCTTACGGACTCAAACCCAGTGTGATCAAGTTAATTTTGGCTTGTGGAGACCCTGTAGGGTAGGGTAGAACTGAGTAAAGGGTTTCCAAGGTTGTAGGTCTTCATGGAAGCAGATTGCCACATCATTCTTCCATGGAACAACTGCAGGATTTGAACTCCTGACCTACTTGGTGTGGTTTTTATTGTTGTTAACAATCTCAAACTTTGCTTTCCTGAGGCTATAGGGGGTTTTGTTGTTGTCTTTTGAAATCTGGCAAGAAAGCAATTGTTACTTAGGCAATTCTAAAAATATTATTTTTTAAGTGATGATTTAAGTAATTATTTGATGACAAGCCAGACCTCATCCCAGTTTTCACACTAATTCCCTATGCTCCTGAGCGACTTACTTGACCTTTCTGAGTCTCAGTTTTTCTCATTAAAAAACCAAGAGGGCTGAATTAGGTGATCTCAACACTCCCTTGAAGCCCAATTCAATTCTGAAAATCCTTCTTGAACATGTATCATAGACTTAGCACTTTGCTAAGCCCTGCAGGACCACTATACAAAGAGGAGCAAAGTGCCTCTATCTTAAGGAACTTAAGTCTCTATACTAAGGGATTTAAGTCTCTATCCTAAGGAACTTAAGTCTCTATCCTGTGGGACTTAAGTCTCTTTCCTAAGGGACTTAAGATGCATACTCACATGAAAAAAAAGGCTAGGTTTAGTAGGCATCTCAAGCAGCATCTCATCTCTGACTCTAGTGTTAGAGCTGAAAGACCAAATTAGGCTTGTAGGGTGCAGAGAGGCATTATGGGGGCCATGGCATTTAAGCTGGACATGGAAAGAGAGTAAGGCTTTTGACAAATGGTGGTAGAAGGAGGGCAGCTGAAACAGAAGGGGCAACAGGAGAAACACTCAGGCATGTTTACTCAGCTAGCCAGTGGGCTTCAAAGGCAGAATACACATTTGAAGCACTCCTGGAGATGTGCTGGTTGAGGTCCAGACATACAGGGACACACACACACTCACACTCACACACGTGTTTGTAGGTCCTGAGGGGTAAACAGATAAGACAGCCTTATCTAGTGAGAAGCCTTTAGGGCTTTGTGCTCTGACCAGAGGTAGCTGGACGTGACTAGTTAAGAGCTCCACCCCATACCTTTCCCAGTTCCCCACTTGCAGGACGAGATTGTATCTGGGCAAACTTGTAATCTTCAGCGTAGCTGAGAAGTCTGTGATGAGAAAAGTCAGTTTACTCATGACATGATAGGAAAGGTGGAGCCATTGAGTGGTGGAGAATCCATGCTAACAGGAAAGGGGAAGAGGGGTGCAGACGTTCACAAATTTATTCTGATTTTTCCAGCGACATGGAGCAGATTTTTCAACCGCTCAACCTGAGGACTCGGAGGAATAGTAACATGATGATGAGCCACCAGAGCTTGGTAAGAAAAGAAGTAAGTGGTTTGGCTAGGAGACAGTCACAAGATTTCCTGCAAATCATAACCCCCAATGATGCTGAGTCCAATCCAATTCTTAGTGACCCGCTGGTGAGAGTTTCTGGGCTGTAAATCTTTATGGGAAAAGACGGCCTGACTTTCTCCCTGAAGAGCAGCTGGTAAATTTGAACCACTAGGCGGGCTCTGGTGGCCTAGTGGCAAGAAGCTGCACTGCCATCCCAGAGGTGCATGGTTTGAATCCACCAGATGCTCTGCTGAAGAAGGAGGGACAATCTCTTCCTGTACCAGTCAGATCCTATTTGATGGTACACACATAAAAAATAATAAAAAATTTTTAAAAAAGAATGTGGCCTTACCCCAGCATTCAAAGAGTTCTCAGTCTAACAAATAATTAAAATAAAAAAAAAATTTGAACCACTAGTCTTTTGGCTATCAGTTATGCACTTTGTTGCCAGAGTGCCTTTGAAAATAATATACTGGGCATGGAGGGCTTTTAAAAATGTAAAACATATATTTTTGCCTTTTATTGGCTGCATATTCTTGTGTACACTTAGAGTGCAAAAGGATGACTTGGTGAAATTTTTCCCCCCGTAGAACAATTTTTTACAAATTTTAAAATTTTTTTAAAAAAATTGTTAGTTGCTGTTTACAGGAGGGTTGTGAGGTAAGTGAAAAGTAACATGTAATTGTAACCGGGCATCCCATACCCACTGACTGATGTGTCTATTCCAGTTCATAATGACCCCTCCCCAGTTGGGTTTCCAAGGCTAAATCTTTTTTGAAAGACATCGCCCATCTTTTTCTTAGCAGGGCTCCTCTACTCTGGGCTCTTGAGTTTTGACAAAAGTTATTTGCCTAAGGTCACCACTTAGCTCTTGAATGCTGTGAGTTTGTTTCTTAGTTACCTAGAAAGGGTGTATCCTTTTGTCTTTAGTCCCTTTTCTACTAGTCTCCTAAAGGAGTTAGTACAATCAGATGTGTCACTGCCCTGTGGGAGGGGCCTGTCTGTAACCCCACCTCCTTGTGGGTGGGAGTGGACAGCTCCTACCCCTCCCACTCCTGGTCAAGGAGGCCACGCCCTCCAGGCCACGCCCCTCTCCCACTGGCCAAGGTGAAGCCTTTCCTCTCTGTCCAATGGTGAGGGCCACAGCCAGCCTGTACCCATATTGCAGTTAGTGATATGTTATTGTTGATTGCCCTCCAGTCGTGCACAACTCATAGCGACCCTGTGAACAAACGACCTGAAACCTTTCTATAACCATCTTCATTTCTCAAAGTTCATAGTGATATACTCCTCAAAAAAAAGACTTGTCAGTTTATTTCCAAATGGTCACAGCTTTGAAAACTCTAAGGAGCAGCTCCACTCTGCACATGGCATGGGGTCACCATGAGTCAGAATAAACTTGACTGCAACCAACGGCAACAGTCATCTGTACACGTTAGATCACAGTGTTCATCGCATAAATCTTCGCATAAATTCGCATGAGTCTCTATCCTGTGACTTAAACTCTTTGCCTTTGAGTCCGTTTCGACTCCTAGCTGACTGTATTAACTTTCAAAGGCTGTAAATTGTACGAGAGGAGACTGTCCATCATTTGCCCATGCCAAACAACAGCCAGGCCTATAAGATAATAACTCGGAGCTCTGGTGGCTCAGTGGTAAGAAGTTGCACTGTCAACCCAAACACACATGGTTCAAATCCATCAGTTGCTGTGCGGGGTAGTTTCCTCCCACACAATTTGCAGCCTCTGAAAACCCACTGGAGCGTGGGCTGTGGGTCAGTTCCAACCCGATGGTACACAATAACAACAACAACAAGATGATAGGATGCTATCATCTTATAGGCCTGACTGTTGTTTAGCTGAAAGTTGAACCACAGGTTTGAATTGAATTCTAGCCTCAAAGAGTTACCCAGGTCTTGGGATACTACCAATCTCTACCTGCAAGCCTAATCAATTTTGTGGTTTTGAGTTTGTTGTGTGTTTGTTTGTTTGCTTACCCTTATTTTTTCTCGTGCTAGTTTTAGTATTCTAGCTTCGTCTATTTTTTTTACTTTTTATTTATTTTTTAAAAATAAATTTTTATTTTATATTGATTTGCTTACAAAGTTTGTATACATTGTGTCTCCCACTATCCTTCACTCACATTGTGTTTCATACAATCTTTTCTATTCGTTATGTTTTATAAAATTAATCATCCCTGAACTATGGCCACCATGAAAGATGTGGTTTTGCATTTTGTTCCACAGTTTCCTGTAGCCTCACGATAGTGGTGGGAGTTGAAGTTTGTGTGGCCCATTAGTTTTGAATTACTTCTATGTATCTTTGATTTTCTACACTCTTGGTGTAATAAATTTGTTAAAAAACAAATCTGTCTTGGAAGAAAGTACAGCCAGAGTGCTCATTAGAAAAACAAGAATGAGCCTTCATCTCAAATACTTTGGGAGGGGCCAGTCCTTAGGGAAGGACATTATGCTTGGAAAAGTAGAAGGTCAGTGAAAAAGCCAAAGACCCTTAATGAGATGGGCTGACAATGACTACAACAATGGGTGTAGCTACAGGGTTGTGAGGCTGGCACAGGATTGGACAGAATTTTGTTCTGTGGTACATAGGGGGAGTGAGTCAGAGCTGAGTTATTGCACCTAATGGGACCACCCTGAAGACCTGGTAGAGGATCAGCTATGGGTTGGTTCCAACTCAAGGCAAATCAACAAGAAAAATAAGAAGACCACTATCACTTGCAACAGGGCAATTGTCTACTTTGAGTGTTACAAACTCACTCATATCTCATTTGGGAATAAATTGTAGGTATTTACATTTTATTACAATTCAGAAGATCTATTGCTAGGAAATATACCTTATTTTTAGGGATCAGCTCATGATCCTTTTAAAAAAATATAGATTGGCCATTTAAAAATACTGTTAAGGATTCGTTTTTAAGTCTGACAATCAAAGGGGTAGAAGCAGCTATTTTTAAAAACCGTGCATTTGCCCAGGTTTTCTTTTTACCAAGCAAGATTTGTGGTGATGGCATTAGGGATGCATTTTCAGAAAAGATTTAGATTGCAGAAGGAAAACCTTTTGACAGCAATTTTTTTTTTCTTGTTGTGTACCGTCAAGTTGGATCCAACTGGCACAGGAGGATCTTGCCCCTCCTTCTCCAGTGGAGCATCTGGTGGATTCGAACCACACACCTTTGGGATTGCAACACAGCTTCTTGCCACTAGGCTGTCCAAGCTCCCTTTAATTGCAATTTTTAAGATGTTTGAAGGAAACAGCAATCTTATTTGGACCCAAATTTTATCCTCAGCTTTTTAGCCTCTCTTCCCTCACTGGTAGTAGAAATGGATATAAAATCAAGGGGAGACGAGAGGAAGAGAGGGCAGCAGAAGGGAGGGGAAATCACTAAGTTAGCAGAGCTTAGTGGGCGGATGGGGGTGTGTGTGAAGGAAAAGGTAAAGTCCAGTAAGCACTTAATGAGATGGTGGAGGGGGTGAAAGTCATAGATCAATAGCAATTAATTGTATAAAACACAGTGTACATGAGTGTATGAAATAAAATGTACGCCAGTGAAACACATTGTATATGCATGAGTGTATGCAAACCAATTTTTTTTGCAAACCAATTTTTATTTTTTTTCTTTTTCCTCCCCCCCTTTTTTTTTTTGCAAACCAATTTTTAAAAAATGGAAGGATATAATAGTCACGTCACCTAGAAGTTAACTGGTATATTTGAAGGAACTTTAAAATGAGTGCATAACAATAATTTCAAAAAAATCAGTGTTGTTTCCTTACCCTTTACACATAGAGCTCCTTATTGGAAACAAGTAGGGTTATGGATATTTCAGAGAGTGGGGGGTCTTTTTACGTAAATTCATCTCTGCATTCATTTGAGGGAGAAGTGCTCAAGTCGGTGCCTTGTTAGTGACAGATGGCGCTTGGCGATTGGACACCTGGCGCACTTTCTAATGACTGAATGTATTGCCTCTTCATGCATTAGTGAACTAAAAAGTTACATTTCTAAGAGGAGTAAGAAGGGGTATCTAGGAACAGTTTGGACATTAATGCTGACAGCAGACTGTTGCTGTGTGTTCCAGAAAAATCGTAAACAGGTGCTTTTGTTTTCCAGTTCCTGTCATTCGGACCTAATTGTATTCCTATCAATAGACTGCATCCAAAAAAGGGCAGGCTTTCTGTGTAGCTCAGAGCTGGGCACTGTCTGCATTTTACTCCATTTTGAGTGTCTTCTCTTTGGGAAGCTTCATCTCTCATACTTTGGACACGTTGTTAGCAGTGGCCAGTCCTCAGAAAAGGTCACTTTGCCTGGAAAGTTGGAGGGTCAGCAAAAGAGAGGAAGACTCTCGATAAGATAGATTTACTGTTAACAATGGACTCCAGTATGTCAGAGCTGATGAGGATGGCGCAGGCCAGGACACGGTTCAGATCCATTGTTCATCGGGTCACTATGAATTGTGGTCAGCACGATGGCACATAACAACAAATCTCTTGGGAGGTGAGAAAGGAGGCAGGTCACAGAGCTGGTCTGTGCCAGACTGATGCCAATTCTTCTCGGCTGGGAGATCAAACAGAGACATGACACATGTGGCCATCTTAGAACATCCCTGCGGCCACATTGCAATTTGCCAAATGAGGGTGAAAGCAGGCTTCATTTGATTTTCCCTAGAGAACTGTATGGGCCAATATTTTGGTTTTCAGCACATGTTTTCCTTGCAGGAAGAAGGGGTGGATGAGACGAGCAGCGATCTTGCATATGACAGGTGAGTGCTTCACGAGAGTGGAACAGAGCTTGCCCAATGTGTCTTGTTTGCAAGTACTGATAGCAGAATTCCATTTTATTTGCTTTAGGGAACTTCAAACAGCAATGCAGATAAGCCAACCATGGGAAGAGAGCTTGAGCCTGGTAACATTTTCCCATGCCCGCTTGCTTTTGATTTTCTAGAAAGCTATACATTGCTCCCTGGCTTCCTTAACTTTTCCACATGCTTCCTCCCGTACCTCCTGCTTCCAAACTCCCCTTCCTTTCTGATCTCCGCTCTTCCAGCAGAGTAGTGGAGAGCCCCTCTTAAGATCTACACATTTATGCACTTAAGAATTTGGGGGTGTTCTAAGCAGTAAGCCCTGAATTGTCATGAAGAGATAACACTTTATGTTTGCAGACTGAAGCTGATTTCAACAAGCCCCAGAAGCTGTATTCTCCTAAGAGAATTGATTTCACACCCGTGTCTCCAGCACCATCACCCACCAGAGGATTTGGAAAGGTAGGACCATGGACAAGATAGTGACTCTCTTTCACTCACTGAACTGTTTTCTTTTGAAAACACTCCCCTACCCCTCCACCCCTCTACCCCTGCACACGCCCCCCCCGTAAAGAATCCAGTGAGCTGAAAGAGAATTCATGAAAATCTTTGACAGTAATTTGAAAATATGTGTGTTTATATATCATTTTATATGCATGGTTATAGAGATTATCATCTCAAGGATATCTGTCCATCCCTGAGATAACAAAGAAGGATGTATAAAAAGCCTTGTAAAACCTGACGAAGTAGAAGTATTTGATATACTATGCTGTTGTCTGGCAGAGCCTTTCACCATCCCTGCAGATGTTTGTCAGCGGTGGTGGACTGTCATCCAGCCCTACTTCCAGTCCAAGACGCTATTCGAGGTATGTGAACCGGAATTCTACATGTGGATTAGTTAAATGCCCCTCATTACGTGTGTCACTTTCTCCTCACTCTTCCTCAACGTTTTATTACTGAAACCTAAAGCTGACTTATATCCAGAGAGGAAACGCGCACACGCGCACGAGATCATTTATCTGTCTTAGGGATTAAGAAGAAACTTTTAAGGGTCGTATCTCAGTCAAAATCCAAACAACTTTTTAATTAGGGAACATTATTTTTAAAACCATCACAGGAATTTTGTTTCATTATCCTGAAGATAAGGAGCTCTGGTAGCTTACGGGGGGAAAAGTTCTGCTGCCATCTCAAAAGGATCTTATCTCCCAGCTGCTCTGCGGGACAAAGATGGACAGTCTCTTGCTACGTGACTTACGGCCTCTGAAAACCCACTGAAGCTATGGGTCAATTCTGACTTGATGGTGCACGATAGCAACGTAGAAATTGCTTACAGCACTTTGTTAATCCAGATTGCCAGGTCAGATTGTACACTGGTATTTCACTTAGTAACACAAGCGTTTTCCTTCTTTCCCTACAGAAATGTCAAGCTTCCTTATTCATTCATTTGCGTTTATTTATCCTTATCTATTTGGTGGGCCATAACATAGCTTGTCAGTGCTACAAGTTATCCTGTTTGCTTATTCATTCAAGCAGGTGCAGTCAAATCCCCGGAAAGTGCATTAAGCCCAGTGCCATTGGTCCTCTTAAGAGAAAAGGTATGTTTTACATTTCTGATTATAAGCTGAGTAGAGCTTGAAAGAAAAACTAGAAGTCTTACTGTCCTTGTTTCTGAATGTGAATGTATGTTTTATCAATTCTCTATATTATGAATTGTTTCTTTGATAGAAGCTTCGTCTTTCATACTTTGGACATGTAGCTAGGCAAGTCTATTCCTTGGAAAGGGATATTGTGCTTGGAGAGATGGAGGGTCGGCAAAGGAGAGGAAGCGAGGTGGATTGACACTGAGGCTTCAGCAGTGAGTTCTAGTGTCTCAGAGATGATGAGGATGGCAAGGAGAGGGCAGATTTCAGGTTGGCTGTTCATAAGGTCGCTGTGAGTCATACTCGACTCGATGGTACCTTAGAATAACAGCATATCATTTTTATATTCCACAACAAAATCTTATTTAAAAATTCATTTTGTTAGCATATGTCCCTAAAATATTGCCTCTAAATGGTTCAAATGTGAAATGTGTAGTTGATATGTTACAGAAGCACATATACATTTTGTCCTTGCAAATAAATCCATAAATGCTCACACAGTGAGGTTGAGCCCCACTGCCGCCGCCACCACAGTACTCCTTGGCAAAGAGGAAATTCCTTTAATAATCAGGCCTCTAAAGGTGTTTTTGATACAGCAGGGCACTGTCTTAATTACCTTCTTTAGATTCACAAAGCAGTAAGCAAAAAGGATCGCAATCAATACTAGTTTTACATGCTTATATCCACCTGCCAGAATCTGTTTTTTAAAAAAGGCAGTGCAAGCTAGCAAAGGTTGTCATTATCCCTGGGGATATGGCCACACCGCTGCGAGTGCTGGATGCCATTTTAGACCAGACTTTGAAAAAGATTTTTTTTAAAGCATTTCACTAAGATCACCTTTGGGGCTGTTAAACTAATACTCCTAATGGTAAAAGAATGAGTTCCTGTGGCTTCCAGCAGCAGCTTCATCTGCAGATCCTTAAAAGGGCTGAAGCCCGAAACTGATGTACCCTAGATACTGAGGGCAGTAATGTTTGTAGTGAGTGAATAAATTAAGTTGAAGAAATAAACCTAGTGTGTTTCCTTAATGTCACAAGGAAATATTTACAATCCAAAACACCTTCACAGCCATTATGTGAAAATCACACTTGGAAACGAAAACTCTTCTTGTTCATGTTATTATCAAACGTGTCGGAGGAAGTAAATTAGTAGAATATTCCGTTCCATAGCTATTCCAGAACATACCAGCAGATGGAGAGGTTCTTTGCTAAAAAAGGCTAAAGTCTTTTGCTAACAAGGTTGAGTTGAAAGTCTGGCAGCTGTTTTTAGAAGCTACATGTAAAAGCATTGAAAAAGCAAATAACAGAGTAGCTGTTTCTGAGTTTCTGGACTTTTTGGAATAGCTCCAGAGAAAAGAGACTATGAATTAATAAGTAATAGATGAAAAAAAAAGAATGTTGCGTTTGTTCTTTTTAATTCTTCTTTTATCATGAGAATCTCATGCGGTTTTGTGTTTGAAGTCACTAATTTTCTACTGGAGTCCACATCGGCTCCCGCATTAAATTGTCTTTAACATTCCATTCTGAAGGCCAGTTAAATAGCTTAAAAACTAAGGAGTGTGTATGTTTTAAGTCAGATCATAGCTTATTTCCAACGGAACTTTTCCTTTCAAACTTAGCGTTGTGTATGTACCTCTGGTGGCAAAATGTTTACTTTATTCCTATTAGTGTGGAGACTTTCTATGACCGGTTCCCAGACAGTCCTTGGGCATTGACGAAGCTAATAAAATGCCACTTTTGGGAATAAATAATTGCTCTAAATCACACATATGCTTGCAAAATTATCCTTTTAATTCATTCACTTTCACTAAAGAGCCTAAAGCCAAATCGATTACCATCACGTAGATTCTGACTCATAGGAACCCCATAGGACAGCCCAGAACTTCCTGCAGAGTTTCCAAGGCTATAATCTTCGTGGGCCCCACACCCACTGGAGGGTCAGCTAGGAGTCAGTCCCGACTCAAGAGCACGGCACGGAACACAGTCACCGTTCTGGAAGCTGACTGGCACGTCTGCCTTCTGCAGAGTGACCAGTAGGTCCTAACCTTTTTGGTTGGCAGTCCAGCACTTTAACCACTGTGCCACTGGGGCTCCTTAACAAGTCCAAAGTGATCTTTTGTTTGTGTTCTGCTTATCAGACTGCATTTTTTTGGAAACCTATTTAACTTCAACTCAGAAAATGCTTCAACTGTACAGAATCAGTCGTTTTTGCCAGTCATCTACCATAAGATGGTATTCACAGAGAACATCAACTATTTGTGAATTCTTTGTTAGTGTGATTAATCTTGGTTCATTTGTGGCTTCTTAAATCAGTTTTATCATTAGTGTTATTTGTGACTTGTTACATCTTTGACTACCCTCACCGGTCATGGGAAAGCTTTCCTGGTTTTATTTTTTCTCTGTCTCCCCTCAGTTTATAGTTGAGCAGTAGACATGAAAATCCTAGGGAGGTATATTACCTCTTCTTTTAAATGCGGTATATTATCTATCTTGATTAATTTGGAAGGACACAGTCCATGTTGTACTCTTAAAGCAACATTAATCTATCTGTAGCATGCTATGTGTAGGACTTTTTTAGGGCTCACAGCTTCCCCCCATTTTTATATTATCTGTATCTACTTTTAATAAACTTCATAGCATGGTTCAATGGTGATTGATTTTATAAAACATAATGGATGAGAATGATTGTATGAAACACAATGTGAATGAAGGATAGTGTGAAACACGATGTACCCAAATTTTGTATGCAAACCAATGTAAAATTAAAAAAAAAAAAGACAAATATTTTCAAAACTAGAAACCCACGCTGTGAAGTTTGACTGAGGCTTTGCAGTAGTGTAGTGCTTAAAGGGAAAACAGCATTTATGTGATGGCTTGAAGAGGCTTCGAAGCTTTGGGTAAATGAAGATCCATTTTAGCACCGAGCCAGTATCTGTACCATTTGACATTCAACATCATCTCTCTCGGTTTAGGTGAGATGGAGACAGAAAGCCAGCCCAAGAGACTCTTCCAGGGTGCGACCAACGAGCCGCCTGCCGAGGCCACCCATGTGACTGACCTCACTTCTGGGTAAATAAAAGAACAAATTCAAGAGGGCATTAGGTTACCTTCTCTTTGAAAAGTGTCAAGTCAAGCATAGATTGTGATCATTTGAAATCTATTCACCTTTCCATCTGTGCTCGTGGAGGGGATTGTGAGGCCAGAATAGGACCGGCAGGGTTTTGCTCTGTTGTGTATTACTGTTACTGTTGTTAGGTGCTGTTGAGTCGACTATGATTCATAGCAACCCTGTGAAGAGCAGATCTGAACCTTGCCCAAACCACTGTGCTCCTTAGAGGCAAGGATGTCTCACATACCTGGTGCATGTTGTCAGGATGGCCCAGTCCCTGGAAGAAGTTATCTTGCTGAGAAAGGTAAAGGGTCAGAGGAAGAGCAGAAGACTCAACAGGGCAGGCAGACACAGTGACTGTAACAATGAATGTACATAGATAGGGACACTCTTTAGTTGGGACTGACTCAGTGGCACAGAATAACAACATAGGGGGCAAATCTCCATGAAGATGTATCTAGAAGGAGAAAAGAAAAAAAAAAAACACCCCAAAACAATTGGAGAAAGTCCTGAGTGCTTCTTTTGGAAGTGTGTTCATCTTTGGCACCTTCACTTTCATTCCTAATAGGAGTATATCCATAACCTGTTATACAGAGAATGTTTTAAGCCAGCCTCAGTTGAGGTTATTGGGGTGGTAGAATGTCAGACGCTGGATGGTGTGAGGAAGTTTTTTTGGTCATTGCTCATTTATATATGCTCATTGATCATAGCTGCTCTGCCTGCTATAATACATTCTATATTTTAACCCTTTTAACCCAGCAGAGATTACCAGAATCTTTTAAGCTTGGTATTCTTTACATTGCATTACCTCTTGTTAGAAAATCCGAGCATATTCCGTCATAGGGCTTTAAATTTTCCCCCCGCTAGAACCACTTCCTGATTCTTATGCCCTAGTCACATACATGCTTTTTAAAGTCTTCTCCTAGTTTAGGTCTTTGATTAAAGCACTGCTAGGTTTTTATGAGAAACATCTTTTCCCGTCCCTGAAGTTGAGCACTTAGATCTAGTGCACTTGGACGGGAAGAGACAACAAGGGAGTAACCTTGGCTGACTAGAATTTTGAAATCCACTAACCCAAGTACCCATGTTCTTAGGTGCAATTGTGCACTAGTTTTTAGAACTTTCTTTGTTCCCTGAGTTTTACCATGAGAGTCTTTGAAAAGTCCACCAAAGCACTCATTTGAAAAATAAGAGGATGGTCCCCCCTGAGTGAAAGATGCATATAGGCTACATGTAAAGGGGTGAGGCTTGACAGACGATTCCTCCCTCCCCAATCACTCACCCATCATTCTGTGTGAAATAATCCACAGAGTTGATACGAAGTCACAGGCTATCTGAGTTTGTTAAGCACTGCTCTAAGCGTGGCACAGATGCCTTTGAGATTGTTCCGTCTATTTTCAGCCCCACGATCACTTTCCCTCTCCACTCTGCCCGGCCTTGGTAGCCTCGTGTGCTAAATTTGGTACCGAGTGCCTGTCCAGGTATGTCGATGATTGCAGAGGGAAACTTCTGAAGCTTGTCAAGAGGACTAGTGGATGAAACTGTAGACGTAGTTGAAACGACATGTCACTTTTATGGTAAAGTGTTTTTCAACGTAGGCATGTGACTATAAATAGGGCTGCTTCCCGAGTTACTAACCAAGTAACCAAGTTAGGTCAAAGATAGGAGAGCACTTTGCCTACAGCACACAGAGTGAGGGCCTTTTTCTTTTCATGTTGTCTCAGGCTGAGTGGCTGTCCAGGATGCCATAACCTGGCTCAACTGAAGAAGTGAGAAAGGAAAGGATTTTCTCCCCTTCCTTAGCCGTCTCCTCCCCTGAGCAGCAGGACCTCGGCTGTCTGTAATACTGCCTGTGGTTGGAGTCTGCTGCTCACGTATTCCTTAGGCCTGAGGCACACCCTTATAAATGGGTAAAATAACAAAATGTTGGTAGTATATGTTTTACTCACACTAAATTACTTTTTAAGCTTTATTTTTTTAAAAAAAAAATTTTGTTGTGTGCCATTGAATCGGATCCGACTGGCACAGGAGAAGATTGCCCCCCTTCTCCAGCAGAGCATCTGGTGAATTCGAACCGTGTGACTTTGGGATTACAGAGCCGCTTCTTGACACTAGGCCACCAGAGCTCCCTCACACTAAATTCTTTCTAAAATGTCATTAAAAAAATTTCGTTTTAAAAAATTTAGGTGTGTATTGAGTTTTATTTAAATAAAAAATCCTGAATTCTTAAAAAAAAAAATAATTTTTAAAAAAGAATTGTTGTTACAAATAAAAAATCTCAAAAACCCAAGAAATTTACAGTTTGAAGTTCACATAATGGAGACTTAGGGGTAAGTTTATAATATATCTGATTAAAGGTGATTAAAGCTGAAAATTGGCCCAAGACATGGAGTCCTCTGCCCTAATATTGCTGGCAGTGCCGTTCCCAGTGAAGAAATGAAAATGTGTCTCCCCCTTCGTACAAAAATTGGATCTCGCCTTTGCAGAAACTTTTTTCTTCTTTCTCTTTAGCTCACTCTACTTGATTATGCATCCATATTTGTAGACATAGAGTTAGAAACAGGAACCAGATGCCTTCTCGTTTTTATTGCTAAGGATACCAGACTACTTGGTGATTCAACCAAGGAAGCCGTTTTTATAGGACCTCTTAGTAAGCAGGAAAACTAATAATTTCATTAGTAGATGTTATCTCAGCTTTCAAATAGTTGAAGTTTGTGCCCTTCCTCAAAGACAAAGAAGAGACAGGGTTTAACTTTTAAAGTTTATTCTCTAGATAATAATCTTTAAAAATCATTATAGTAAGTTAGTTTAGGGGAAATGTCTGGTTAAAGGTTTACCAAGTTCTGAATCTAAATTGCAATAGAGACTGAAGTGCACTGGGGTCCCCCCCCTACCGCTAGTGAAGAAAATTGTGTATATTTGCATTCAGCTGTGGAAAAGACATTTTTGAAGCGAGATGAAACGAAATGTTCGGGTTCTTACTGATTTTTTTACAATTTCTTAGTAACTTCTCCATTAGCTTATTTCTCTTAAGGCCAGCGAGACTGTTAGGAGAGAGATTTCCTTGCACAAATCAAATTTTGTGTTTTCAAATGACTACGGATGACCTAAGCGAAGGATCTTATTACAAATGAGATCTTTTAACTCAGAGTTCACCAAAAGTCTGGTGGTCAGAATAAGAAGGTCTTTATTAATACTCAGATTATCTACATGGTGGCCAAGTTTTAATCTAAGCCCCTTTCTTCCTGTCAAGTGGATACAGATCGTGTGTTGCTGCTGCCCAGCCAGTATGTTCTTTAGGAAAGTAAATTCATTTTCATATTAGTTTAGGCAAAAAAGCTGCAGGAGGGGGGGGGAAATCATGTATGTTCCAAAGGCAAATATAGAGGTCTTTTGATTTTTCCAATGTCTTAGATTATCTGTGCAACTTTCTTTCAGTAGTCTGAATAATTTATACTTTAGACCTGCTTTACCATTTGATTAAAAAAAATAAATACAAGAGCCACCTTAATTTTCCAAACTTCTTACTTAAAAGCAGAGTGATTAACGATGCATTTGACGGCAGTGAGTATACAGTAGGATTACTGTGGAATATACTTGGTTCCAGTTTTATTTTTACTTTTCCGAAGCCTATTTGTATCCTGTTCCCACCTTAAAGAAAATGAAAAATTCTGCGAGAACTAAGAAGAAAATTAGAAGTGCAGAAATGCAGGGGGTAGGGTAAGGGGAAATACTCTCTTTCCCCCCCCCCCAAAAAAGTAATGTAGGGCCCAGAAACTTCCAATGTACCATAGGATGCTTAACACTGGGGGGGGGATTCACTTGGCAATTTATGAAATGATAATATTAAAGACACTTAAATCAGAGCTCAGAAGGGGCTTTTACAAGGGAGCTTAACGACAAGCTTAAACTAATCACTAGGTTTCTTTCCTCATGATTCTTTCTCCAAATGTTGTGGGTTTTCCTTTTCAGAAATTTAAAAAAAAAAAGTATATATGTGTAAATCCTGAAACTGCCTGACTGTCTCTCCAGGTTTCTGGGACACCATGACCTCTTTATCGGAGCACTGCACTCCACTCTCCCTACTTTGGGTTTCTAAGTCTACCCTGGCTTCCTCCAGCACCTCCCAACTGGCAGGTGCCTCCTTACCATTTCTGGCAAGCCTTTCCATGTTCTTCCAACTAACATCACTTTACCCATGTCATATATCCTCATGGCCCACTGCATCTTCTCTTCATCACTGCCACCATTTGTAATATCCGTTTATTAGCTTAATGATTTCGTGTCTGTCTCTTGCACTGCACCGTAGATTTGGTGAGGGCCAGGATCTTGTCTGCCTTACACACGATTGGTTTTCTTAATCTCAAGCAAGATTCCTGCACTTGGCTGGCACACAGTAAATATTAGAATAAATGGACAACAGGATTCAGGGAAAACATCGTGTGTAGAGCTTTTATATAGGTTTGTGGGAATCAAAACCAGCCTGATGTCAACTTGTGAAGGCTCTTACTTCCATCTGGGCATGTGAGGGAGGTCAAGTCCTGGGCCGGCACGTACATTATAGAATTCATTCCCTCCTGATGCTCAGATCAGGAGTGTTAGGGGAAGAGTTGGAAGCAGAAGCCAATTGTCAGGATTAATACGGCAGTGGAAGATGAGGTAGTGGGAGTGGGAGAGGAGAGAATTCATTTTAGAAGCTGAACTGGATGGTAACTGAGGAGATAGAAGAAGACTTTAGAGCAAGTAGAGGGGGTATCTTTTGGATTTTGAAAGTAAAATGAAAAGAAACAGTGTAAGAAAGTTATAGAACCAGAAGACTCTCAGGACTGCAACTGGAAGTGACGGCCTCTTAGGAGTAGGGAAGTGGTGACATCTAGGATCTGTGAAGTAATATACTTGATAGCTTGCTCCAGACAGTCCGAGGTGCCCCAGGAAGTAACCATCCCTCTGACTCCAAGCCTGGTGGGAAGGGAAGAGAAAAGAAACCATAAAGCTTGAAATTCCTCGAGCTCAAGGGAAAGGGAATGAAGGCCCCAGGGAAGACCAGGCCGGGCCCAGAGCAGTGCTCCGTGTCATTTGGTTTCCCATCACGTTCAACTTTCACAGGTGTTGTAAAGTAGCATGTTATGCTGTTCATTGTGTTGCTTTGTCGCTTTTTATGATTTACAACCGCTTTACTGATTTGTGAGTTCTTGAAGCTATGTCGTCGCATATGATGGTTCTGACCCTGAGAGATGCATTTGCTCATAATTCTTTTTGCTTTGTCCTCAGTTCAGATATTTTGGATGACACTAGTAGCAGCAGTGGCTTGTCCTCAGAATCCCAGGCTAAAGGCAGCGCTCCTGCAGAGGCTCCCGGAGCGTGCTCCAAACCAGGCGCCTCCTTCATCTTGATGGATGATCTGTCACGCAAGTGACTTGACCGTTTTCTGATGCAGGCTTCCAATTGCTGTTTCCTAGCTTTCATTTCGTAAGGAACACAGAAAGGGGCTTTGAGCCACAGTAAGGATTAAAGTTTCACAGCTTTAAATAGTTGCCCAGGATGCCACTGCCTTTTCGACATCTCCTTTCTCTAAATCTGATTTCCTGATGACTGGTTTTACTGAACTTTTTGAATTTAACAATTAAATTGCAAATACTCCTTTTTTAAGAAAAAAAAAAAAAAGCTTAGTATCTCTATCCACCTCCCCCCTTGAGGCCTCAAGGGAACCTATTTTAGAGCCTATAAGTTTAAACCAACTATTGAGATATTTCTTTCAATTGTGATCTGACAAGTAGAGTGGAGAGTTTTTCTCCTTGTGTCCTGTTGACGACATGGTTTGCAATCTTTTCTTTTCATCAAGCCGGAAGACGTGCTTTTGATTATGTTGAGTGTGTTTGTTTTTTCCTTTTACTGCATCAGCTTCAAGTCCATTACGTTGTCTCCTTTCCTGTCCTGTGTGAGCCACTTGCCATCTCTCACCAAGGGAAGGAGTGCACAGTTGCTTCCTTCACTCTCGACTTTGCTTCTTCACTGTTGGGGTGTCTGATGTGAGGATCAGCTTTTTTTAGCGTTCACAGTGTCACTGGACTCCCACTTGCCACCGGTTCTCGCGACTCAGCTGCTTAGCTTTTTCTCTCCAGAGGAATCAAAAGCAAAAACGTGTCTCTAAAATATATATAAAATATTTCTAGGTGGTGTTATCAAGGAGAAGAAATCCCTGCCTTGACCAGATGTGTGGAGCATCTCCAAATGAATGAGTGATGTTAATGACCCTCAGTGTTCGGGGCGGGGGGGTGTTAGGAGACCCTAGGTACAAGGGAGCACTGTTAAGCTGAAAGGCATGCATGTCAGAGGGTGGGACGGAAAGGGGGCCTTCCTGTGTGTGATTGACGCAGTGTGTCTATTGCTGGATTTTGAGGGCTCTTTTCTTTTCTCAGTTCCCATTTGTCCCTGGTTTTGTCTGTCTTGTCCTGCAGTGACTGACACTGCTCTGAAGCCATCCGAGTTAGTCAGGGTGTGGCCGTGAGAATGGAAGCCTAGTTCTTGCTCATGTTACCTAACAGGCAGCAAGCAGTTTGACATCTAGGAGGAATCCTGGAAGGGCCCCACTATGCTTCCAACAAGCTGTTTTGAACCTGGGAGTGCACAGGCTGCTCACCAGGGTAGGCCGTTCACTGAAGGGCAGGCAGTTCAAACCCACCTGCAGCTCTGTGGACAAAAGGTGAGGCCTTGAAAACCCTCTGGGACGGTTCTACTCTGTCCCACAGGGCTGCTTTGATTCGGAATCCCCTCAGTGGCAGCAGGCTTGGGGTTTTTCGTTTAGACTGTGAAGAGTGCAGATAAGAGATATATCAGAAGCCATTTAAATTGCCAAAGAGGAAAATCACAACTGAGCTATTTAAAAAGCTATAATTTCTTATGGCCTTGTTTGTTCTTTTTAACTGTGGAATAAGGCCAGAGGCGGTTGAAGGGCCGCCAGAGTGATTAGATTGTCTGTATTTAATATACAAACGTGCCTGCTAGGCTTCTCATCCACTCTTCAGTGATCACAGGAAGCAAAAGCAACTACATCTGAATCATTTGAAGAGAAAGCTCTTTGAACATTAAAGGAAGGTGGTAAGCTTTGGAGGTGCTCAGGGGCAGGAACCATTGTATAGCCTGAAGGGAGACCTAGTCTCTTTAAGGTATCGGAGAGCTTCACTCAGCTAGTGGCAGTTCGATTCCAGCCTCAGGCGTGTTCGTCATTTGAAGCTGTCATGGCGCCATCAGGCCCTTTGATACCATGCTCTGTTGTGTTGCTTTTACCTAAGCAGAGTTCCATAACCCTTTAAACTTAACCAACTTGTGCATGCAAAATGATGAGGTTTGTCCCAGTTATGCCCGTTTAAAGGGAAATGACTCTGGTGGTGGTGATGTATCTATTCTGTTTCTGTAAGAACCATGTTAGACTGTTTCTATCAGAAAAGGTGGTTTCTTCTTGCACGATATTAATTTACCTTCACTCTACTGTCGTCTTTGCCTTAAAGGGACACTTGTGGCCAACGTTTTTTTGGGCTCTAATTTAGGACTATTATGAAATAGCCTTTGAAATGTAATGTTAGCTCTGTTTCTTTTTTAAAATTGTAGTAAGTTAGTGTGGACTAATAGTTGGGAGGGGGGGAAATTGAAGCTGTTCAGTTGGGATACAAACTAGGAAGGAAGATGACCTTTATTGTTTAGACTCTCGTTCATTTTTATTGTCTACATTGATTGGAAAATTTTGCTTGTGCAGGGATTGTTTTTAAATGAGGATATATTCACCTTAGATGAGCTTTGCTGACAATACCCCATTTTTATATAAGATCTGATATTTGAAAAATGAAGAGTATTCTAAATAAAAATCTTTCTTCTTATTCTGATGTTCTATCACCTATGTAAGGCTACTTTTAGAAAATAAGTATAAACGCTGATAAGAGAGAAATCTATAGATAGTGTTTTTGCTTTACTGATTTATAACGTGTCTCACCATGACTGATTTTTGAATACTTGGACCTTTTGTGAAATGCTGCCCTTCTGTATCTCTCACAACACAAATTTAATAAAGTATGTACACATGCTGAAAATGCAGTAAATGGTTTTGAGTCTCTCTCTTTTGAAAATAATAGTCGTATTGTGATTTTAACGAAAGTTTACAGAAAACTTGGATTCCCACTCATTCATTGTTGCACATTCTCCTCCCTACCCCTCGCAGTCCACTTTTCTCTTTAAAAAGTTCATTTCTTGCTGCACAATTTCCTCCCTCCTCATCTCTTTTTTTCTTCTTGATAATTACATTCTCCTTCCCAATCCCAATATTATACTCGCCATGTCTAGATTATAGGTCAAATTTACAATCAAAGGATACCAGAAACACGAAAGAACTAATAGCTATATTGATTGAGATGTTCTTCCAAAGAGACAGATTTTGTTCCCCCGATTTTGGCACCTTTTCTAGAGCATCATGGCAGGCCAGCTCTTTGGAAGGTTATGACTGTGCAAGCTCACACATAGTTCACACTTGATTTCAACTTGCCATCCTGCTCCTTTTTTTTACATATTTGTGAGCTCCAATGTGGCACCTTTCTGGCCACAGTTTGGATCCACCAGCTTCTCCTTGGAAGAAACATGGGCCATTTATGCCCATGCCATTTACAGCCATTGGAAGGTCAGCTGTGACTTTACAGCCTCCCAAAAACCTGTTGGTGGGTTCTGACAGCCATGAGTTCTGTGTTGATTTGGGGATTTTTAATACACCATTATAAATTAGTTTTAGAGAAAGATGGTATGCCAATTTTTTTTTAAAAAAAGCCATTTGTACAGGATTCAGAATATACATAACTCAGTTCTTTTACTAAAAGACTAGATTGAAAATATTTGATTTTAAAATAATTTTCAGTCTGCTAAATTTCAAATTTCAAAGTTACAACAATAGCCCAAAGGATTCCTTATACATCTTTCACCCAGGTTCCCTGTAGTGAACACTAGCATTTTTACATGATCATTTTCTCTAGTATCCCTATCTCCATGGGAAAACGATAGGCAATCTCCTCCTGTGCAAATAAAATGTCTCTGAAACCCTGTTGGACGGTCAGGTATGAGTTGGTTCCAACTTGACAGTACAAAACAACAAAATAGGTATACAAGAGAGCACTGGTAGCTTTAGTGGTAAGGAGTTGCACTGCCAACCCAAAGGTATGTGATTTGAATCCACCAGGTGCTCGGTGGAAGAAAGATGGGTACTCTCGTCCTGAACAATTTACTGCCTCAGCAACCTGTGAGAGGATCAGCTGTGGGTTGGTTCTGACTTGACAGTACTTAGCAACAACAACAACACATGTATGCATAGGGAGTTCTGGTGGCCTGTTGCTATTGTTGTTAGGTGTCATTGAATCCATGACAACTTGTAGCAACCCCGTGAACAATGGATCTGAACCTTTCCCCGTCCTGTGCCATCCTCACACGAGCCCATTGCTGTAGTCACTTTGTCAATCCCCCCAGTTGAGGACCATTCCTCTCCTTCGCTGATCCTCCGTCTTTCCAAGCATGATGTCCCTTTCCAATGAACAGCCTATCCTAGCAATATGCCCAAAGTATGTCAGATGAAGCTTCATCATTTTTGCCTCCAGTGGGCACTCTGTTGCTGCCAACTCAAAGGCAAGTGGTTCAAATCCATTTAAATTCTCTGAAAATCCATTGACGCGTCAGCTATACGTAAGTTCCTACTTGGTGACACATAAAAACAATAACACACGCGTATTTATCTTTTCTTTCTCTAAAACATCTGAAAATAAATTGCAGACATGATTTCCCATTACCCCTAGATGCTTCAGTATAAACGTCTTCAAGACAGACATTCTTTTTTTTTAAAATTTTTTATTATTTGTGTGTGTGCGTGTACCGTCAAATCAGATCTGACTGGTACAGGAGGAGATTGTCCCTCCTTCCCCGGCAGAGCATCTGGTGGATTCGAACCGTGCGCCTCTAGGATTGCAGTGCAGCTTCTTGCCACTAGGCCACCAGAGCTCCCCAAGACAGACATTCTTATCTAATGATAAATCAATCAATAAATGAAAACTAAAGGGAGCCCTCGTGTGGCATGGTCCATAGAGAGCTGCAATGCTAAGCCAAAGGCCATTCCTCTGTGGTGGTTTGAATCTGCCAGAAGCTCTGAAGGAGAAAGGTGGATAATCACAGTGTTTAGTGGACGGAGGCAGGGAGAGAAAGAATTAGGATAGATCTACTGGGGACTTGAAACGATGGGGGGGGGATAGTGGGCATCGATCAATGCTGTTGTTGTTATGTGCCATCATCACCCTATGTACAATAGCTCTGAAGCCAGCCCTATCCTGAGCCAGTGTCACTGACTCAGACACTCCTACCCCCATTGCCCCAGTTACTGTATCAATCCATTTCATC